TTACATCATTTAAATATGAGCACAAAGATCCCAGAGAATTTTCTTGAAAACTTCCTGCTGTGTTCACACATCAGCTCCCACCGACTCCACACAGACATTTTATTTTAAGGATGCTGGCAGAAAAAGTTCAGGATGAAGTTGAGTGATGGAGTTATGGAGGAGTACGTTTGAAAACACCAATAATGATATTAAGTTACTGTTGTCTTCTCCTTTATGAAAAGCAAACATTCTGTATGCCTCTTTAGTCTTTACATGAAGTAGCTCTTAAATCTGGTTAAATCTAAGAGACAGCTGTTCTGTGAAAAAGATTACAGTGCCAACATTATAGAAAGCTCCAGCTGGCTGAGGACAATTCCTGCCTTAAACATGTGGTCTGTGACCAGCTGTCAACAGTTTACTCATAGAGCGGCATGACCGATTATCTATTGTGATGTAATATCATGATGTGTATGATTGTGTCTCTGTAAAACAGAACAGCAGAAGAAATTTTTATTATTGTAAACAAGAACAAACAATAGAACAATCATTGTGCATTGCGAATAATAAGAGTGGCCTCGATTCTATTCTACAGCTTTCATCATCCGTTATTTCCCCCTCTTCTTTCTTTACCCAAGACAAAGTATGCATGATGTGTCATGATTTGGTCTTATCTGTGTCAGTTCATTGTTGTAGGTTGCTGTTGCATGTTGTTGTATGTAGTCTGGATGTCGTTCGTTGGTATGTCAGTTTTTCGCTCGTGCTCCTCTGTGGCTCCCTGGTTTTGATCGCTGTGTTTTTTTGTTGAACTTTTGTAAGTACGTTTTTGTTGCCTTTGGCCTTTTTGTTTAATTAAATATTTTTTGGTTTTCCTGCACTTGGGTCCACCTCCTTTGTTTTACACACCGCACCGTAACATGATGTCAGTGAGGGGTTTACAGTGTGGTATGCACAGCCTCATATTTACACACCCAGCCTGTGTAAACATTCACTCTTCCTCTCTTTGAAAGATTAGGATGTTAGCTCTGAGACCTGAGTCTCTGTATGACTCAGAGAGCAGGGAGCCCAGCTGGTTGACTTTCTGCTGTAAATATGTAGCTACAGTAGGACTGTATGTTAAATGTCCAATCTGTGATGTGTATGTACAGCACTTTTACGCTGGGGGAGTGCGTTATGTTACAGGTAAACACATTCCTCTCGGAAAGAGAACTGCTTCTTCACAGATGTGTTTTCTCCAAGGCAGGACCATTTAGAGCAGGGGTGGGCAACTTCGGTCACAGCAAGGACAACATTCATTTAATTCTCACTGCCAAGGGGCCAAATTGTAGAATACAAAAACGATAGCAGTCAATTATGTCTCAAATTTAACTCTACATATACCAGTGATGTAATATTATTATGGACACATTTCTGGTTTTCATGATTTCATGGCAGATTTTGTCATGTTTTCTTCATGTTTCCAATTAATTGATATGTAAAAATTGACCTGAGGGCCACGTTGAGGGTTGATGGGGGCAGCATGTGGTCCCCGGGCCGCCAGTTGACCACCCCTGCTTTAGAGTCAACAGGGAAAATGTGTGTTATGCAGCAGTTCTTTGTTGGAGGTCTAACAGTATAACTCATCCCAAATTATTACAAAGTAGGATTGGAAGGATGTGGAAGACAGAGACATTTTTGTTTAATTCAATGAGTATTGTTGGCAAATGTCTCTGCCATTACCGGGTGTCATTAGTCAGATGTGATTGAATGTCAGCTGGCTTTGTGGTGTGACTGTAGGTGTCATTTTCTAAGGGATTCAGACTGCACACAGCTCCATCTTAATTTGGTATGTGCCCAAGAAGTGTCACTTAAATGTCTCTAGGGGACCACGAAATCAAGTGTTGTCAATTAGTCAGAAAGTGAATTCTGTTTGCTAAATAAAGAAGAATAACTCCTAACATTTCAGTCCTCATAGCCCAAGACTTATCTTGCTATTTATCTGATGAGGGAAAGATGCCAGACACAGATTGCTGCAGTGTTTATCTCTGTTTTTATTTCTTACATTAGCAAAAAATTCTAAAAGGTCTGCCTCTGTTTTCATCTAGTTGGAGAGCAGACACAAATTCCTGTTGATGGGTATCGTTGCAGATCAGATGTGACATTATTTCAGCTGTAGTCATGCAGTTCACTTCTCTGAAACAAAATTAACTTTTCAGGCCAGGGGCATGCTGGGGCTGCACTGTGAGCTGTGCTTTGGGGTAATTGTTAATTTCAGAATGTTAACATGCTTGACATGGTATTACTATCCATGGAAATCATTCAAATATAATATATTGGCATGCTAAGATCTGCCAGTTAGAATAAATCCTGAAAAGCCGATGATGATTAGAAGTTTGTTTTTATGTTATTAGACAAATCATATTGGACACAGTATTGGGCAAAATATTACCTGATGATGATCAAAGTAAGGTTATTTAAAGAGATCATCTGGATGCATCTTTTTTCAACCATATTTGTCTTCGCTTAATTTTCTGCAAATCCATCCATTCAGTGTTGACACTTCTCTGGATAGTGGTTGGGTTTAACTAGCTTGTATAGGAAAAGTCTTAGGGGCATTAAACCATTTGGATATAACACTGATGAACCACTGATGTCGATTCAAATTCTCATTACAATCCATCTAATCCATGTTGAGATATTTTAGTTTTGACAGAAGTGGTGGACTGACTAGTGTTGTTGTACATAGACCCCCAAACAGCAGCATCCCCTGTCTTTAACAAGACATTGAGTGACATTGAAAGAGACAGAGACAGTCCATGTGATAGCTGCACTGCATGTCGTGCAAAAAGCCTATGCAGCCAGGAAACAGGCATATTAACTAGCATCATTATTTGGCTGAGCATGGCACAGAGTGTCAAGAAAGCCCCGAGGATGTAGCCGGTCTCTGAAGACTTTCACAAAATGGAAATGTCCTATTAGTAGCTTGACTTGAGCCTAAAAAATGTCAGGACACAAATGTTTTTCCTGACATCGCTGAAAGCAGAGCAACCAAGATAGAAGTAATCGAATTGGAGAGAGGGGAAAATAGAAAACTAAACGGTATATGGGCACAATGGTTTCCTTTCATGTGTCTCTTAAATAAGAGAAGGGAGGAATCACGGGAACTTTTATTCAGCTGAAAATACCTTAGTGCCATAACAACAAAGGTGGATGAGGATGTTTTAGTAGATACTGTAGTACTTGCTATACTACAGGGTGCTATATCAATGTTGACTTAATAACATTATTCTTTATGAGGCAGTGGGATCCTCCAAATCCCAATGTGTCATTAGCACATAGTTCAAACACCTTCTCATTATTTAGTTCAGGTGTTTCAGCCATGTAGATTGCTACAGTGGCAAATAATCCAAGTTATAGCCATGTCATATAGCTATTAAAGACTTTTATAGGATTCCACCCTTCCCACAAGTCCGTTGGTGAAATCTCTGCTCTGTTGCGCTTCAGCCCAGGTCAACCGTGAGCGCTTTTATTGTGGTACTGCAACAAAAATGTGATCAGCGCCAACCAGCACTGAAGCAACTTTTTAAAAAAATCGCCATTTATTTGTAGCTACGCACTCTAGATAGTCACCTCTGCCTTTTATATCTAACTTCAGGACTGTGCCTGCTGATCCACAGGGGAAAAGTTGCCAAGGCGGAGCAGATAGATTCAAGCCTGAAATCAATGTGCAATCAAAGTTTGTAAAGTATGCTGCTAAAAAAAACTCTAGATCATTAGGAACCTGTTCTTTGGGGAGTTCCCTCAGAAATCATGAGACAGTTTTTTTTTTTTGGGGGGGGGGAAGAAATCTTGGTTGCAAAATGCAAAGCTTCTGTTGTAAAGTCTGGAGGAGGAGGATGGATTAAAGTGTTGTTTGTCAAGGAGCTTCTCACTGCTACAGGATACAAAGACATTTCAGCCCACTGGGCACTTCCAACTTTGTGGAAACTGCTTATGAAACCCCTTTGTTGTTCTTGCATGATTTGACTCGTGTGTAGAGCAAGGTCCATGAAGACATGGTTAGACAAGTTTGGTGCAGAGGAACCCTTTCCTCAACCCAACTTCTCACCTTTGGGCAAAGTCAGAACCAATCATCTCACCCAAGTCATTACCTGACCTCAAAAATGCTACAACGGCTGATTGGGGATATATTCCCACAGTGCCAGTGCACAGTTTTATCCCACAGAGTCATTGTTGCCTTTACAAGATTGGTCTTTTATCAAAAGTACATGGGACTATTACCAAACTACAAATGGGGCCATTAGACTAGGAGACTTGGTCTGGCCCTCAGTGACATCAAACACAGATTCTGGAGAGTCCCTCGAGGGATATTTGTACCATTTGGAGTGAAAGGCTATCTGATCAAGCTTTTTCAATTCTAACTTAACCAGTGGTTTTCAAATATCCTTGTGTTCTTCCCAGCAAGGATGTATTGATTTGTTCTCTTTTAGGATTGCCATTTTGCCATTGGTCACGTAGTCGTTTTGTCAGCATATCAAATTCTGCCTAAAAGTCGATACTGGCCATTATCTAATTTCACTAATGCTAGTGTTTTTTTGCTGCCCAGAGGGCCGTGCCACTTTACAGTCTGCGGTGTCATGAAAACAAAGTTTAGATGACAACTGAACGTGCAAAAAGACAAGTTTGAGAAGAAACAAGCAGACAATGACAGCACAGGCGCTAACAGTGGAGCCAGTGTCAATTAGAGATAACACATACACTCAATTGTACAAAACCTCTCCCTGCCTTTTTCTTTATTCCTTCCATTCATACAATTTACCTCCACTTTGCTCTCTATCCCATCTTGAACCCTTCCGCTATCAGAAAACTCTTCTTCTTTTATTCTCTGACCGTAGATGCCTAATTGCCCTCTGTCTTTTCCTCCACCCCTCTTGCTTATCTTCCTCTCTCTCCTCTCTCTTCACTCTCTCTCTCTCTCTCTCCTCTCTCTCTCTCCTCTCTCTCTCTCTCTCTCTCTCTCTCTCTCTCTCTCTATCTGTCTCTAGAAGTGTGACTGCCTGCTCAGCCTGGAAGCCTATTCAGCAGACCAGAAGCGCCGCGTGTGTCAGTGCCTGAAGGACAACATTGACAAGCAGCTCCAGCTTCACAGAAGGGAGCTTCCCATTCAACATTTTGAACAGGTACGGCACACGGACACACACACGGACACACACACGGACACACACACGGGACCATTTCAGGCTAAAGATGAATCAGTAAACGCATGAACACATGGGAATGCATATTTCTGGGCATGCCCCCATCACAGATTTTCCCCCGGGAACATCACACACTCCCAAGCAAACACAGTCAGTCAGTAGCATATGACACTTTTCCTGCAGCTCGCATTACCATCATTACGATTTTCCACTTAGCTCTAACATTTCTTTGGGGCGAGTTTTAAGGCTTCCTCTTATCTGGCTGTGTTAGACTAGTTGCACTGCTTGAGTGGAGTGTTAGTTCAGGGAAGTGTAAGCCCTTCTTTGCTCTATTCAATGATGCCAAAAGAGTCAGGTTCGGCTGCAAAAAGGAGGCTCCTGTTTCTGAACCTCACAAGTAAAAACTGTGTTTCTTCTTCACTACTGTCAAGACTATATTGGTAAACTGTATTTGTTGTGTGTGTGTTTACACTGGACACACGGGCGTCTGAGCAGAGCAGCACTTAGTGTTCTGAGCATTTGTTGTTGACAGTAACAGCTTTCCTTGAGACTTATTGACAGTTGAACCTGTGCTTTGTGAAAATGATTTTTTTTTTTTTACCCAGTAAGGTTTTTTGGTTTACCACTTGATAAGAAAACCAGTTATTCAAAGAAACTGAAAATAGTGCCGAAAGTGTTAACCATTGCATTGCTTAGTTACGCTTTAAGCAGAAATGGAGCAACATTAACAATCAGTAGGAAGTGGGTTTGGTTTCCCAGAATGTATTCAAGTACAGAGCTCGTTCTAAGGGAACATCTCTCTCTCTCTTTAACTGCTTAATGCCTGACTTTGTCATAAGCCACTTGCTCAGTTTGCCTTCTGCTCTGTGGTTTTTTTTTTTTTTTTGTGTGTGTACTAACAGCTGCCTGTTGTGTTTTCTCTTGAACCCATACTTTGGGATTCTTTTGAACAAATAAGAATTTTTTGGCCACTTTTAATGAAAACAAGATTTAAGAAAGAAACACAAATGAGTTGTCTAAAATGTTTGGCATGAAGCAGATGTTGTCGAACATTAGCTTTCAGTAGGAACTGGGTGAGTTTTTACCAAAATGTATTTAGGTACAATGTTCTTTATACTTTCCACCCTAGTCCTGAATGGATATACGTGTCTGTCCCGTCAGCTGCTCCATGTATTGCTCCAGTAGCTTCTTGCTCAATTTGTCTTCATCTCAATCCTTACGTTTTTTTTCTACTTTTTTGCTAAAAACATTGCTTCCTGTTACCAGTAGGAGAGTAAATCAAAACACAACATATAGCTGAGGAAGACTGCGGAGTCATTTGACAACTCTTGGTGGGTTCTTCCCTTAACTCCTCCTTATAATAACATCTTCATAATATAGACACTGAAGGGATTGTAGCGGCATTGACTGCTTATTTTAAAGCCCTGCAATCCAATTAAATCAAGTTTAATTCACTTTGTGCAAGTCCAGTCATGGACAAAATATGAAGTTGTATGAATCGATGACCAAGACAACATCACAGTTAAGTCTTTACAGTTTGACTTGTATTGTACCTCAGCAGTAGGGCTGGATATTTCCACGATAACCCCCACGATACGATACGTATCACGATACAGAGGCCACGATACGATGCAATGGTTTTGGATAATGACCATGTCCTACACAGAGTTCACTACAACAGCTTCTTCATTGTTGAGAATAACAACAGAGACATCATAAGGATCCTACGACTTAAAACACTTCAATTCAGGTCCTCAAAAATCCTCGAAATACATTCAAATCCCAGAGCGACGGTTAAAGGTGTTATTGTGAACTCCAGCTTTGCAGCCGTATCGATTCTGTAACATTTGCATCAATACATGTATTTGCAAGGAGTACATCACAATATATTGCTGTATTGATTTTTTGAGCACAGCCCACCTCAGCAGTGGTGCTTGGTTGTGTTAAGGGTCTGCTGTAACTTGTGTTTAGCACTCACTAGCCTTATAGAGGTCTGATGGCTGGGGTGGTGTGAGAGAAAAGCCTGTGGCCCAATTCGGTCATTCAAAAGTTACCAAGGGAAATCTACTCCCTGTCTTTTCTTCTCTCTCTCTTTTACATTTCTATTTGGAGTATTTCTTTTTGAAGGCTGTGTGAGTGACTTGCCACTCTGACAAAACATTGAGAGGATGAGAAACGTCCATTTCCTCTGGAACAGTATTCAGAAATGTGAATCTGTGACACTATCACGTCTGTGATGTACAGATTCTTAACAGATAAATGACGTCATACATTAACGCTCTTTTATATCCTTTATTTCTCCCTTCCTTCATTTTTTTTGTGAACACCAAAAAGACAGCCAGCTCACGACATGAATTAAAAAGCACTCTGAGGGATTTCATTAGAGTTGAACTGAAAGGTGATTAAAAGGGAGAAATAGCTTTGTGTGAGGACGTCACACCTGTAGGACATTAGGGCTTCATTTCATCAGCACATGAAAGAGAGAGAGAGAGAGAGAGAGAGACAAGCCGACAGTCTTTCATCCCTCTCGCTCTACACGGGTGTGTATTCACGTGTGGCCCTGTGAATGTGTGTGTGTGTGTATTCCTGCCCCTATCTGAATAGACTGAGGATGAGGACTGATTACCCAGAAGTGCAAATGACCCAGAACTTGGCCCGTATTGGAATATTCTCAAATACTTGTTGAACTACTTTAGGATGAGCTTTGCAAAGAGTTCAGCAGCTATCAAAAAAAAATAGAAACATTACAATACTTTACCTCCTAAACTTGGGTACACATAATAAAGAGATCCACAGCAACACGATGCTTCCCACCATTTTCTGTGTTTTATTAGGTGCACCCAGCTGAATGTAAGAACACATTTACACACACACTGCAGTGGTCAATGCGTTCGATAGCATAACTGCTTTGGAAGCTTTCTAAGTCATGTTAATCAATGTTATTTCCCCCAAACAATATTGACCCGCCCAGAGTATCGACCAGTAAATAAAATGCTCTTCCAGCTTGTATTTCTTGTGCAATAGTCCTGGTACAGTTATCCCCTGGTTTAAATGGAAAATCCTTCTTGTTAATGGAAGGTAATTATGTTCCCTAGCTGAGCTCAGCTGTTTTCTTTCAGAGCGGAGCATATCACTAATGTTTCATTTCAAAAGGCTGTATTTACAAGAAAAGTGTCCTAAAAACAGTTTGACCAAATCATGGTAGATTTTCTCTATAACTAAATGTTCTGCCTAAGCCAGATTAATAAAACTAATGTCACACCTGGTGAAAGGTATACATCTGCCTACCCTATTGGAGAGATGATTGAGGGGCAGAGTCTCCACGACTTAACCCAGTGTGCTCTCTGGGATCGATTCAATCCCTCAGAAAGGTTTGTTGACTTGAAGCTTACGTCTCTGTGATGCCACCAAACACAACTTAAGTTACAAACTGACCTAGTCAAATCATTAAGTGTGGACTTTGCACCCAAACTTAAGTTAGAATTTATACAGAGCTGGTGCAACAGGCCGCAGAGAAAATGTGTTTGAACACATTCCTCCAAAAAAAACCCAAAAAACTGTGATAAACGAATCATGCTCGCTTGCATTCATGAGCTACAACTGTACAGCATCTTTGTGTAGTTATGAGAACCTTTTACTGTAATCTCTTATTAAATGAAATTTGAATGGTGTCCTGAAGGCACAGGAATACATGCTTAATCATAACATAATACATCTTGACAAATGAGTTCACTTTTGATTGCATTTCTCCAGAGTACCTTAGAGGCAAATGCTTTGTATTCAGTCAACTCCAAATGTGTTTAATCGTATGCAAATCAGCTTTGTCAAGTACAGGCGATTCGAGGAGAATGCTTCTGTAGTGTCCTAGCTGCTGCATAAAACATTTGGACGTAAAGGTTCCAGTGTCTTTGGCTTTACATCTCGGGAAGTATCAAACTGCAGAAAGAAGGGAGACACATATCTAAAGAAAGACATATGTGGGTCTATTTCTACTAAAAATGACCACTGCAGTGAATCATAACTCTTAAATCTTAATGACACTGACATCAGTGCATATTTACATGATTCTGTACAAATCAAACACTAAAAATGCCCTTTGTTGAAAGCAGTTTGAAGAATACTGTAGTTATTTGACTTAGAAGAATAATTCCTCTGTATTGCTGAAATGACTCCACGGCTCCTTGTCACTGCTGAGTCAACACATGAAGCTGTTTTGTTACCAGAATAGAGTGTGTCTCTGATGCTCGTGTGTGTGTGTGTGTCCCCGTCAGTGAGTAAGAGTCGCAGCGAAGAAGGGAGCTTTAGAAAATTACCCATCGACTCACACATCTCCCATGTGTCAGGAACGGCATTTGTCCTCTCATGCACAAAGCCGAGTAAATCCACACTTAGCTGAAGCATGCATGCACTTTACTCAAAGAGTTATGTTGGAGTGTGCAGAAAGAGATCAGAATCCTCTCCTGAGGGGAACACACACGTTCAGAAAAAAAAAAAATCACATCTTTTCACGTCACTTTCTTCATTCATGTTTTTCCAGCAAACCGGGTGACTGCGTTACAGTGTTGGTGTCAGCGGATGTCTTAGTCTCCCCCAGCGCCTCAAACACTTTGAATGCTTCCCTTTGGAAAACATTTGGACGTGAGCCCCTTTCACTGGGAGATTATCTAATCCTCGAGTCCTTCTGTGAGTGTGCAGGGATGAGGTTTTTGCCAGTTTTCTGATTTGTGTGGAGCTTCATTTTAAAGTCGGAGGAATGGGGGCGAATGTTTATGATGACTAACCTCAACTTGAATAACTGATGCGTCTCCTTCTCTCTGACTTAGAAATAGTCACAGAGAGCGATAAACAGAGACTGCAGTAAAGTTTGACTTTCAGGGCTTTTTTAAGGGAGGACCAGCAGGAAAACAGACCTGCAAGGGAAGCATTTGGGAGCTGTCAGGGTGGGAGTTTATTAGCAGAAACTATTGGGCTGAATGTGTGAC